TGCAGTGGATCCCTCAGGCTCAAGATCTCTGGGCTCTGTCGATACTTACTCTGATGAAGAAAATAGCCGACAGGGCAATGGGTGGAGAAGAGACACCGGGAAGAGAGTTTGGGTTGAGAAAGGCACTGTAAACTTATCAAACCTGACCAGGAACAATAGAGATTCTGGGAAAGGCAGAAATCCACCTCAAAAAGATCCATTCCACAACCATAGAGAACTGGAGGGGGATGAATGCCTTCTGCATGGTTCCATGGCCGAAAGAGGGCGTGCGAAGCTGGACCTTGAGGACTGGATTGAACCGCCAAAGGATAGAAACTTCCCTTTGATGGGGCGTTTTGCTGGAAAATTCCCGGGCATGAAATAATTGATGAATTAGCCAAAACTTGGGGAGTTTGGTATAATTTGGATGAACACTATAATGGCCATGTAATGTTTTGGTTTAAGACTGAAGAGGACCGTGATGTTGTGTTGAAGAAGGGTCCTTTTGCTGTGTATGGAAAACGTATGTTCCTTGAACCACCACCAAAAGAGTTCTCTGAGGCGTATGAAGATTACCGGTTCCTTCCAATGTGGGTTAGACTCCCCTCACTGCCGAAACCTTGTTGGAACACTGGGGCTTTGAGCAAAATCGCTGCTGCCATTGGTAAACCTCTGTACATGGATCAATCTACTTTGGATGGGAGGAAAATAGGCTTTGCTAGGGTGCTCGTGGATGTTGACTGCTCCTTAGAGCCTCTGGAACACATCGCCATTGAGGTGCCTGACGGATCAACGCTTGAACAGAATATTTTTTATCAGAACTGGGTGCCCTTTTGCACTCGGTGTGGGGGAGGCCGACACATAACAGAAAAATGCCCCTTGACTCGTGTTGAATGTAATCTAAGGGAAAGAAATGTGGCTGCTGGGCATGGGAATGAGAATGGTGATACCGAGACTCAAGCTCTTGTAGCTACGGATGTGTGTGAGGCTGTTGTGGGTGACGAAGAGGATGTGGCAGAAAAGAGAACTGATGAGGCAGCACTGGTGGTAGTCGAAGATGGTACAGGAGTGCAAGATATTGTAGCTACACCTTTGCAACAACCTTTTGGAACTCCACAAGTCGAGGTGCAATCTCCTCCACCACCTCTTGAGATTGGAGATGAGGCCGCAAATGAGACATCTGAACGCAGAAATTCCACAAGTTGAGGTGCAATCCCTCCACCACCTCCTGAAATTGAAGAGGAGGCCGGTAACGACAAAGAAGAAGCTGCTTTGTCAAAATCTGCTAGAAGAAAGGCCCGAAAGGCTAGGAAGGCGGCAGAAGCTGCCTTGAACCCTCCATGCAACCTTGAGACTGTCTCTGAAGTTGATCCGGATCCACAGGCAGAAAATGAAGAAGAAAATGTTGTCACCTTACCCATAGAGCCCTCTCGTGTGGTGGCTGGGGCAAGAAGACGATCCCCGCAATCTAAGAAGCAAAAGAAAACATCTCGGACATCCCTGCCACTTGGGATTAACAAAGTGGCTGGCGGCGGTGGTCGGCGAGCACCCACCTCCGTTGCTCAATGTTGATCGGAACTTGGAATGTGAGGGGTTTGAATCAACCCCTCAAACAAAAAGAAGTCTGGGACTTCGTTTGGAACAATAAACTATCTGTTATTGCACTTCTGGAAACTAAATTGTCGATTGAGAAAGCTGACTTGTTCGTTAAAAACCGAAAGAATGGATGGAAGCTTGCAACCAACTTCCATGATACTGTTGGTGGAAGGATTCTTGTTACATGGAACCCAGCGCTAGTAGACTGCTCAATCCTTGAGACTGGACCTCAACATGTCCACTGTCTCATTCTATGCAAGATTTCTCAGAAGAAGATTCTTTGTACTTTTGTCTATGGCCTCTTTTCTGTAGTTGCGAGAAGGCAATTATGGGAGAAGATTGAAGCACTTGGACTATTGATTGTTGAACCATGGGTAATCTCAGGTGACTTTAATACAGTGTTATCACCATCTGAAAGAAGGGGAGGAAACGAACCAACTAGATATGAGCTTCAGGATTTGGAGAATTGCTGTGCGAACATGGATCTAACGGACTGCCCTTCTACTGGAAAATTTTTTACGTGGAGAAATAGGTATATGGAAGCCAAGCTGGATCGGGTACTGATCAATGATAGATGGGGAGCCAACGGGTTAACATGCATGGCAGACTTCAAGTTGTTGGCATGCAATTCAGATCACTGTCCCGTAGTTATAACTACGTCCATTGCTATAAGTGACGGAAAAAGGCCATTCAAATTTTTAAACATGTGGCTCACACACCAGGACTTCAAAGTTACTCTTGAAAATGTGTGGAGAGAGCATGTGGAGGGATCGAAGCAGTATATTCTGGCCAAGAAACTTAAGTCTCTTAAAGGACCTCTTCGCACTCTTAACAGAAATGCGTTCAGCCACATCTCGGAGAGAACCCGAGTCGCGAAAGAAGCCTACTCTGTTGCGCAAGATGAGTTGGATGTCCTAAACGCGAATGAACAAGAGAGGGCTTATGTTAATGATCTTCGGAAGAGGGCCTTGTTCTTGATGGAGGCTGAAAGACGGTTCTTTGCGCAAAAATTGAATACAGTCCACTTGGTTGAGGCAGATAAGGGATCACACTATTTTCATAGCCTCATAAATAAAAGAAATGCAGCGTCAACTCTAGCTGCAATCCTTGATCAAGATGGGAACCTAACTACTTCACTCAATCAAGTGGGCAGCTTGTTTGTAAAATTTTTCTCTGATTTATTTGGCACCCCAAGAGAAAGGAATGGAACGGACAATACATATTTTGGCCATGGCTCCAATGTCTCTGCCGATCAAGCTTTGAACCTTGTGGCCCCAATCTCTAAAGAAGAAATAAAGGAAGCTTTATTCTCTATGGGTAATGACAAAGCTCCGGGGCCCGACGGGTACACTGCGCTTTCTTCAAAGTTAATTGGAACCGGATTGGTTCACTGGTCATAGCGGCAGTGATGGAATTTTTCAGAAATGGGCAACTGTTGAAGCAATGGAATCATACCGTTATTGCCTTAATCCCCAAGAAGATGCACGATCAAAGGGTCGAGGATTTTAGACCAATCGCGTGCTGCAATGTTTTTTACAAGATAATAACGAAGATAATTGCAGCACGCATGGGACGAGTACTGCCGGACATTGTGGACCAAGCCCAAGGGGCTTTTGTAGGTGGGAGATCGGTGTCTGATAATGTTATGCTTGCTCAGGAACTTATAAGGGGATATTCAAGAAAAAGAATATCCCCGAGGTGCATGATAATGGTGGATATCCGAAAGGCTTATGACACTGTTAGCTGGGATTTCTTGAAGGAGGTTCTGCATGGGTTCGGGTTTCCGAGTATCTTCACTGAATGGATCATGGAGTGTGTAAGCACAGCATCTTTCTCGGTGAGCATTAATGGTACTTTGCATGGAAAGTTTGATGGAAGGCGGGGATTAAGGCAAGGGGACCCCATGTCCCCCATGTTGTTCACGTTATGCATGGAATACTTCACAAGAATGTTGAAGGCCAAGACTGCGAGCCCGATGTTCAAGTTCCACCCAAGATGTTCTAACCTCCGCATAAGCCATTTGGCTTTTGCGGATGACTTGATGCTTTTTTGCAGGGGAGATGTAAGCTCGGTGGGAATAATGATGAATGCGTTGAATGAGCTCGAAGGGACCTCAGGGCTAGCGATTAGTGCTACGAAATCGAAACTGTTTTGTGCTGGGGTGCGTGATGACCTTAGCTTCACACGCATCCCTAATGGCACCTTGCCTGTTCGTTACCTTGGGGTTCCTTTAGATGCTCAAAAGCTAAAGGTATCTTGCTACACCCCTCTTTTTGATTCCATTAACAAGTATATATCTGCCTGGAAGGGATTTTCTTTATCTTATGCAGGTAAGCTTGAACTGATAGCCAAGGTGATCCAAGGTGTGGTAGCATACTGGATGCAAGAGTTTTCTCTACCACCCACAGTTATTGAAAGCATAATTTCTATATGCCGAAAATTCCTATGGGGTGGAAAAAGGGCTCTTGTATCATGGGATGTTATCTGCAGGCCAAAAGATGAGGGCGGACTTGGCTTGCGAAATTTGAAACATTGGAACAATGCGTTTATGACAAAAACACTCTGGAATATCCACACCCGGAAAGAAACGTTATGGATTCGTTGGGTCATGACTTTTATTTACGGAATGTGGACTTCTGGACGTGGAATCCGGGAAGAAACGAGTCCGCCCTCATGCGTAGTTTGGCGAAGGTTAGGGACCTTCTCGTAAGCAGATTTGGAACCACTAGTGACTGTATCAATAAACTGGCCTCTTGGAATGGACCGAATGGCATTAATACTTCGGCCGTGTATGAAGCAATTCGTCCACAAAGCCCAAAAAAGTTTGCCATGAGGTTTATTTGGAAGAGCTTTGTCCCTCCTAAATTTGCTTTTTGTACGTGGCTTTGCTTACATGGAAGGCTACTCACGAAAAGCAATGTAATCTTCATGGAGATTGACAAACATTGCTCGTTTTGTGGTGCTACACTGGAAGATATCAACCACCTTTTCTTCATGTGCCCGTTCTCTAAACAAGTTTGGGACCGTGTAAGAGATGGTGTTGGTATTGCAAGGAATACGGCCTCTATCAAAGGGCAATAAAATGGCATCATAGGGATTCTCGAGGAACCCCGGCTCGATCAAGATTGGTGCTCTAGCTATCCATGGGCCTCGGTTTTCCATTTATGGAAGACAAGGAATGCTCTTTATTTTGATCAGATGGCTGCCGATGTGGACCGTACTTCTACCATGATCCTCCAAGAACATTTTCCAGGTGATGTACAGGTTATACCCGATGGGGTGGAATGCATGAGACTTGGAGTTTGTGGTGTTTGTGCGTACTGCCTTCTTGCATTTGTAAGGCATGTACTGCCGTGTATTTGGTTTACTAAATCTGTTTGTGCTTTGATTTATCTTTGTTTCCAAAAAAAAAAAAAAAAAAAAAAAAAAAAAAAAAAAAAAAAAAAATGGTTATCTTTTTTGTTCGTTGTCCATCTTGGGTGGAGGTAGTAAAGCTGGTCATGTTGGATATGCTCTGAATGGTGTAAACAGGAGGACCATTGTTCAACACCCACTAATGGCCAACTTTGCTATATCTCACGGTTTAAGTTTGTTTTAGTTTTTTTGTTGTTGGATTTAATCTTGTATTGTTTAGTAGCCTAGTTGGACATGGCCTGAATGTGTAAACAGGATGTCCACGGTTCAACACTTACTAAAGGTTGGTGTGTTTTAATGCAATTTCTTCTAAAAAAAAAAAAAAAAAAAAAAAAAAAAAAAATGTTCGTTGTTTGCTTTTTGTTGATTGTTTTTGTTTGGGGTGTTAGTCTAGTTGGAAGTGGTCCAAATGTGTAAACAGGAGGACCATGGTTCAACACTCACAAAAGGCTAGTAACCCATTTTCTTTCTTTATTTCTCTTTTTG